ACTAGACAATTGATTTAATCATTCACTTACCTCTTCACTCTCTGTGGTTAGTCCCTGAACTGCACAAATATCCAAAGGAACTGGAGCTTCCTCTGGCTTTCCATTGTCTCTCAGTGACATTTTTTCAGCTTCTAAGGGGTCTACACTGGCTGAGAGCTCTTCAGTCATTCTACAGGACTCCCTTTCTCCTTTCGTAGCTTCAATTTTCCTTTCCTCTTGTTGCCTGGTACAGGATGGAAGGCAGCAGCCTTCACTTGATTCTCTGCTGCTAATGCACAATGGCTCCATTAAATAAGCTACCTGTAATCCAAGTTTCTTATTAGATGCATAGAAACATCAAGGGAAATCATCATCTTCATAATAATGCCACATGCTCACACTGTTACTGTGACTAAGTCTGAGATGACAAGTGGGCTTACTTAATCCAATCATTTAAAGTTCATGACATCTCATATACACAGGTACTAGACTAGTTGCTTAAGTTATAACAGTGATCAAAATAGACAACGGTTCTTGCCTCTTCCAGGAGCTTATGCTCTAGTTTTTCATCTGAAGTATCAACCACAGTGGCTTTCTAGGAAAAATATTGACAACTTTGTGTCACAGACACTTCAGAGAGAAGGAGCAACATATGAACTGAATACTTAAAGATCTTTACCTAGGTTCTTTTCACTGTGTTCAGTTGCAACTATCCAATTCTGTTTACTTTTGTTCCTGAGGGTAATGACATTTTAAAAACACTACCTTGGGGCCAGCACTGTGGCATGTAGGCTAAGTCTCCATCTGCAGTGCTGGCATCCCATAAGGGCACTGGTTCGTGTTCGAGCTGCTCCTTTTCTGATTTCTCCTCACCCCCATTTATGGCCTGGGAAAGCAGCAGAGGATGACCCAAGTGCTTGGGCCTCCACACTTACATGGGAGACCTGGATGAAGTTTCTGGCTCTTGGCTTTAGCCTGGTCCAGCTCTGGTCATTGAGGCCATTTTGGTAGTGAACCAGAGGATGGAAGATCTAGCTATCCTTCTCTCTCTTTGTAACTCTGCCTTTCAAATAAATAAATATCTTAAAACAAACAAACAAACAATCTTATGGGACTCGAGTTGTGGCATAGCGGGTAATGTGGCATAGCCTGCAGTGCTGTCACCTCATATGGGCACCAATTCAAGTCCTAGCTGCTCCACCTGATCTAGCTCTCTGCTATGCTTGGTAGAAAGGCTGGCTCAAGTCCTTGGGCCCCTGTACCCGCCTGGGAGAGCCAGAAGTGAAGAAGCTCCTGGCTCCTGGCTCGTGGCTTTGGATTGGCCCAGCTCGTGCCACTGTGGCCTTTTGGGGAATGAACCAGTGGATGGAAAGCTTCTCTGCCTCTGCCTCTCTGTAACTCTCCCTTTCAAATACATATATAAATCTTTTTAAAAATAGCATCTAGAAGTCATAGCTTTTTAAACTTCAAGCAGGGGGGACAGCAAGATGGCACAGTGAGTTAAACTGCCACTTGTGAGGCTAGCACCTAGTATGAGAGCCAGTTGGAGTCCCGACTGCTCCACTTCAATCCAGCTCCCTATTAATGTGCCTGAAAAAGCAGTGGAAAGTGGACTAAATGCATAGATCCCTGCACCCATCTGATAGATCTGGATGAAGTTCCAAACTACTGGCTACTGGTTTTGGCCTGGACAAGCCCTGGCCATTGCGGCCATTTGTGGAGTGAACCAGTGGATGGAAGATCTGCCTGTCTCTCCATCACTGTGCCTTTGAAAATAATCTTTAAAGAAAAAAAAAAAAAAAAAAACTCAAGGAGAGTTTATACAAGATTAATCTTTCAGACACTCTCAAGGCAATCTTACACTCAGAAATTCCAGTTCTGGGTGGGAATCAGGCCCCTAATGACTGGAATCTTGAAACAATGTCAAAAATTTGGGAGCTTACCCTATAGCACAGCAGTTTCAGCTGCCACTTGCAATGTCAGCATCCCACACTGGAGTGCTGATTCAAGTTCTAGCTGCCCTACTTCCAATCCATTTTCCTGCTAATGCATATGGAGGAAAGCAGCAGCAGGTGGCCTAAGTATTTGGACTCTTGTCACCCATGTCGGACCTGAATGGAGTTCCTGGTTCCAGGCTTCTGCCTGGCTCAGACCTGGCTGTTGAGAACATGAGTGGACCAGTGGATGGAAGATCTCTCTCTCCCTTCCTGTCATTTTGCGTTTCAAATAAATAAATAAATATATTTTTAAAGAATGCACTTGGTGCATACTCTGTATCAGCACCAAGTGCCAGGGATACAATATTAAATCATTTCTGTCAATGTGAGTCTCCTATTTTAGTAAACAATATTAAGAGCATTAGAAACATGTGAGGGTAAACATTCTCTTAGAAAGTGGAGGTTCTCCCAGCTTTGGAAGTAGCAGCTCACCATTACCTCAGAAAGAAAGTGGAGGAGGTTCTGGCGGTTCACTTGCTCTGCCTCTCTCTGAGATTCCTCACTGCCTTCATCCCCTGCAAGCAGCTCACTAGGTTCTCTCCTTGGGCTGCTTTCTTCTAGTTCCTCAGCCCCTGGATCCTCAGTTTCCCTCCAGCTGCCCACATCAAGATCCAGACTGGAGTCCCATGAGCTGAAGAGGGACCTGTAGTAGTTGCTCAACTCAGAGTCACTGGGATAGTCTTGTACAGAATCCAACCAAACCCACTCATGCCCCATCTGTAAATACACAGAAAAAAAAGAGCATTAAAATCATTCCAATTCATATTCCCAGGGACCTCAATCTCCTAAGTTCAGTAGAAAGATAAATATCAGAAATGTCTCATCAAGAAGTATAAAACATAGCAGAAGAAAAATGCTGGGAGATGACATGATCTTTAGGAATAAAGAAGTCCCATTTTAATAAAATAAAGATGTTATACTGTACAGTGCAGTACAATGTATTACCCAATAACTATTATTTCCTTATACTCCAAAAGGGAAAGAGCTAGAGCATAGCTAGCTTAACAGACTTCCTCTATCCCCCAATCACCCATAAACTCAGTTGCAAGGCAATAAACTTAAAAGGAACACGGGATACTTTCCTTGTTTTTTTAAGCTGTTTACCATTACATACTGAAAATACACTTTGATATTACCTTTGGCATCCTTATCGTCAAATCCACTATCACTTCTCAAAACGAGATCCTCAAGTTTCAAAAATACCTTCCCTTGCTTTCTTAACTACCCTATTCTGATTCTCTTACAACTTTCTCCAATCCCTTTTGACTTTCAATAAACTTTGGTCTTCTATTTCCTTGCATAGTCCAGCTTCCTTAACACTTCCTCTAAAAAATAAAGCATTTTTTAAGTTTCAACTTTGACCTCTATGAAGATGATTTCCTGTTTCTTGTCATTGTGTATACACACAATGTACACATATATGCATACTGTTTCAACTTTGTACTCTATCAAATCTCTCAACCTTTTATACATTCTGATCTCATTTCTCCACGCATCTGAAAGCAAATTCTCTTTTGAAATCCTACTACTATCTGCTTCAACTCAGCATTTTTATAACTAAAATCAATATTCTTCCTAATTTGCTCTCAATTTCTTTATCCCTATCACCAACACTATTTTCTTAGTCTACGCAACTCAAAATTATTCTTAAAGTCAGCAATTTTTTCACAATTTTCTGTCATCATCCTTTGTTTCTGGGGAAATGTCAGGCTCCTTAAGAGTTAAACAATCTTTACTTCAACCTGCTCTCTGCCAAGTGTCAAGGCTTAAGAACAGCTTTCATCTCAAACATGTTCTTAGTCTACCACTAAAAGTCCTCCATAATTAGTCCTACTTTATCCTCTTGACTGGTGTTATATCTCACTATTCCTTAGTATGATCACTGTTCTCTTATCTCATTGCTCCTACCATGGATGTGCAACACTATTAACTCATCTTGCAAAGCACATCCATCCCTTTTCTAAAGCAATACCTATGTCCTTTAATGGACTTTCCCCACAAACCTGCAATTTTTATTGCTTCAGTGTTTTTATCACATGCCTGTTTGTGGATAGCTTTGGCAACCGAATATTATAGGTACTTCATTTTCTAACTGTTGGGTTGATTTCTTTCCATCACCACAATAGGACTATTATTTCCTACTTCCTGACAACTGCTGTAATTCCTTTTGAAGGCCAAAAAATATTATCATGATCTTCTTAAAACTTTCTCAACAATGCAGAGTCTAGATAACACCCCATTAATATCTCTATACAATAAAAAGGCTCATAATTAGTTCATTATCACTAATGAGCTAAAGTTTTTGTTGTTTAGTTAACAAAAATTGGAATAGAACTCAGTGCCTAAATTTGTTAATTCTTAAACTGAGATTAGCCTTCCAACAGCAATATAAAGAATTCTATTCACAAGAGCCCTACCCACAGGGAGTGCAGTGGAGGATGGCCCAAGTGCTTGGGCCCTGCACCCCATGGGAGACCAGAAGCACCTGGCTTCTGCCATCGGATCAGCGCAGTGCGCCAGCCGCGGCGGCCATTGGAGGGTGAACCAATGGCAAAGGAAGACCTTTCTCTCTGTCTCTCTCTCTCACTGTTCACTCTGCCTGTCAAAAAAAAAAATAAAAAAATAAAAAATAAAAAATAAATCAGGGGCTCTTAAGACACAGATAAGCCCCTAAAAAATAAAAATAAAAAAAAAGGTATGATCTACAGATAGTCTGAAGTAGGACAAATTTTCCTGAAAGAAAGGTTAATGCTACCCATGTAGCATGCTTGAATCTTCTTTTAAAAGTGCTATGAATTCAACTCTAAAAAACTTGTTTTCTCATTCAAAAGCTGAATAACTAAGTTATTGTTGAACAATATCTCAAAACAGTAATTATAAATTCAATCCTGTTTACTCACCGTCTCTCAATTAAGTAGGCAATTCACATTATAAAGTCACTTTATCCTCTAATAATATTTTCACAAATAATGTAGGAAGAAACAAAATTTTCAAATATACACACAAAAAGCACACACCAAAGGCTAGCATTTTTTCTTTTACATTTATTGTATACACATACACTTCACAGGTTTATTTTAAAAAAATCTGTACACTTCACAGACAGTACAAACTAGCTACAATCTGTTAGCTACACATTAGGACATTAACACAGCCCATGATTTTTGCCCTAAAACAGACAATTGTGCTACTTCAACTCTCTGAGAGAGATTTTCCCAGCTTATGTCATGTGGCCCAGGCACTCCTCTTCTGTAACTTCCACTTCTGGAACTGGGCCTGCAAGCCCAAGCTTTATCTTGTTTACTTCTATTTCAGAGTCAGCTCAAAGAGGATACTTTCAGGCTTTACTTTTTCATCTTCATATCTGCTTCAATGGCACAGCGGCGTCCCCTGGTTCCTCCATCCTACATGACAACAGAAAAAGAAATGGAGCATGAGTGAAAATGAGTGAGCTGGTTAGCCGCTGACAAAGTACAACAAGGTTGGGGATTTGATTTCTTGGGGGTAAAAGGGAAAGAATCAGCAGAAAAATCCAGAGTTATGAGGGGTGTATTTCTGTCTTCCCAGAGAGTGGCTAAAGAACACGTGGTAGTTTTTAAGAAGAAATGTAGGACAGTATCCTGCTCTTGCCCACCACACAGTCCTTGAAATTCACCTGGGGTCCCACAGAGTGATGAATAGTCATCCCACCCAGGTCCAAATCATGTGTAAAGGAAAGGAAGACTGAAAGAAAGGTGGGAAAGTAAAAGGGCGGTGGATAGTGAGGTTCTGGGCTAACATACCTGTCCAGCTGCTGGTCCCTATAAGAAAGGCCTTTCCTGCAGACTGACCCTGGCACTAGTTCCCTAGCACCTCCTGACAGTTGTTTTCCATGACATCAGGACAATCAGAAGGCTTCTTTCCATTTGCTGTTCTCTCCCTGCAGCCCAGCTCCTTCCTCTTGTGCAATACTTTGCTGTCTTCATCAGATAAAAGATCCTATTAACCAGCCTTGCAATAGCCAGCCAATTGCTTGGGGATCCAGAGTCACTGTCGCAGGCCAATAAGAGCAAACGGAGATTATAGTGTTCTGTATGTTGTACAGGCTGAGAGGCCTGCAGGCAAGATGAACTAGTGAACACTTTGTTGGGCCAGACCATTTTAACATTTCTAATATGCAAGGACTCTTACATTTTTAGAGTTTGTGAACTTAAGTTGCATATGTGGCAACAGCAAGAATCAAAATACCACCTTGCATTTACGTAACATTCTTCTTCTTTTTTTTTTTTTCCAAGCCAGTTCCATACCTATTATCTCATTTGATCCTCACAACACCCCTGTGAGGTAGCCTGGACAGGTACCTCGTTACATGAGCTCCATCACACATAAGAGAAAAATAAGGCCCCCCAAAATTATCTGAGTAGCTTAAGACCATACAGTTTTCTAGCCTGATGCCCCTCTTCCATTACATCATGCTCATTGCCCCATAATGAATAAACAGAGTCAGAACTTTTTAATTCATGGAGAAAAAGAATAAAATTCTTTAGGCTAGTTCTACTAAGCTTACAAGTAATTCCATCAGTCACTACAGTATACAGTTGTCATTGTTACTGAAATATTTAACTTATAATTTACTTATATTGTTTGTGTACCAGATATTAGTCTTGCAATTTAATTTTAGGAGAAAAGAGAAAAACTATGTGCCAAGTATCTGCCAGTACCAGTACAAAGCCAGGTATCAGCTGCTGTTTTGCAAAACCCATTTGTAAGAAAAGAACTGATAAAAGATGTAGTAAAGAAATGAGGAGCAGATGCATCCTAGATACTTTATCCCCAGAATACCTCATTTCAGCCCAGTGATCTCATAAACGATCTCTACCCAGCATCCCCTTGCCCTAACCGCCCCCACATGCACAAAGACAGGAATGCAGAAGACAAGACATTTTCTTATTCAATGACCCGAATAAACAAAAGTTCAAGACATTGCAACAGTCTGAGTATTGGATTTCCCTCTGTCACTCATCCCCAGAAGGAGCTGAAACTTTCTGGCAACACCACCCTTTGCAGCCATTCAATACTTACAAAGAGAGAGAGAAGGAAGGCAGGAGAGCCCATGGGGACACTGTCCTGTGAGAGCACAAACACACATTGATCAGGTTCCAAAAAGTCAGCTACAAGCACCCTACATAGCAGGACAGACACAAGCACCAAACACACAGAGACAAAATTCAAAAACTTAGCAGCAAGAGAGATATCCCATGGCATTCTAGCCATTTTGTCTCTCAACAGGAACTGCTGCAAGCTAAGGCCTTTCCCCCACCTTTGAGAGTACTTTCCCAGAGGAATTAATTCACTTACTTAGCTCACAATTTCTCCCATGTGACTGGACCTCACAGTCATAAGCTTCTTCAGTGTTTAGTGTTTTAAGTGGGAGCAAATAACAATCATTCTAAGACCTGAATGTCTTTCCACCACTTGAAGGTAGAAGCTTAGAAATACAAGTAGTAACACAAGGTTCCCTCAACAGTTCAGACTTCTAGCACTAAAACAATGGTTCAGTGGCTCCTTCCTGGAATCCTCACCTTCTCTGAAGAATCCTGTTTGCGGGTAGAATCTCTCCCTCGAAGACTTTTAGCACTGATACCAGACTCTGATGTTTGCATAATCAACTGTGTGGCCAAGAATTGCTATACATAAAAGAAACAGAGTTGGGCATAGAGACTTGATTCAGTGGGGAAAAATTACAACACTTCAGGCTTTGCAATTAGGACTTTGTATAGCACCCTGCTACTTAAACACTTTTTGACTTATTGGAAGTTTACCTTAGAGATTTTTTTTTTTAAATATTTATTTATTTATTTGAAAGAGTTACAGAGAGAGAGAAGAGGTAGAGAGCGAGAGAACAAGAGAGAGGTCTTCCACCCACTGGTTCACTCCCCAGATGACTGCAATGGCCGGAGCTGCACCTATCCGAAGCCAGGAGCTTCTTCCGGGTCTTCCCATGTGGGTGCAGGGGCCCAAGGACTTGGGCCATCTTTTACTGCTTTCTCAGGCCACAGCAGAGAGGTGGATGGGAAGTGGAGCAGCTGGGACCCGAAACAGCGCCCATATGGGAAGCCGGCACTACAGGTGGCGGCTTTACCCACTGTATCACAGCACCAGCCCCTACCTTAGACTTTAATTATAGTTACAGGTGTGCTGAAGAATCTGAAATGCCAAAGAGCCTTAATTTTTTTGTTAAAATATAGCCTACTTGAACAAAACCTCTATCTTTTAAGAATGAGAAAAATAGAAAGAACAGGATGAACCAAAAACTATTCAGCAATTTAAGTAATTAGGCAGACTCCACGAAGATAGATAATATTCCTTTAGGTTCAACATCCCAAAGAGTACCTGGCAATTCAAGTACAGAGACATATTATTTGTAACATAAAAAAGAGAAAAGGGCCTGTTGTTGTGGCAAGGCAGGTAAAGCCATTGTCGGCATCCTATATCAGAGTGCCAGTTTAAGTCCCAGCTGTTCCACTTCTCATCAGTTCCCTGCTCATGTGCCTAGAAAGGCAGTGGAAGATGGCCCCAGTATTTGGGCCACAGTTAATCCACTTGGGAGACCCAGATAGAGTTCCAGATTCCTGGCTTTGGTCTGGCCTAGCCTTGGCCATTAGAGCCATTTGAGAAGTCAACCAGCATATGGAAGATCTGTCACTCTGCCTTTCAAATAAGCAAACATTAAGGAAAAAGAAAAAAGAAAAACTCTTGTTGAGTGTCTGTTATGTATTACTACTTCAAAAAATTTAAAAACAGAGGCCGGCGCCGCGGCTCACTAGGCTAATCCTCCGCCTAGCGGCGCCGGCACACCGGGTTCTAGTCCCGGTCGGGGCGCCGGTTTCTGTCCCGGTTGCCCCTCTTCCAGGCCAGCTCTCTGCTGTGGCCCAGGAGTGCAGTGGAGGATGGCCCAAGTACTTGGGCCCTGCACCCCATGGGAGACCAGGAGAAGCACCTGGCTCCTGGCGCCTGCCATCGGATCAGCGCAGTGCGCCGGCCGCAGCGCGCCGGCCACGGCGGCCATTGGAGGGTGAACCAACGGCAAAGGAAGACCTTTCTCTCTGTCTCTGTCTCTCACTGTCCACTCTGCCTGTCAAAAAAAAAAAAAAAAAAAAAAAAAAATTTAAAAACATGTATTTACTACTTACAGAAAATTTTATTAAAAAACTTCAGGGAGCTTAAGCTATTTGCCCAAGAAAGGTATTCTATCATAACTCTTTCATCAAACCAGGGAAAATCAACCTGAGTTCAGTATGAACCAAAATATTCTAACTATGTCCCCAGTGGCTATTCCGAATAAAAGCCACAGCACCTTTCCTTGAGAATTTTCACTTCATTCTTCCCAAAACACAAAGGATTCGTGAAGTACCTGGATCTGTTCCAATACATCTCGCTGCATCTCCACTGCCATGTGATAGACATCGTGGTCTGAGCTATTGTACATCACAGCATTCTGAAACATCAGCATAATGTCACGCTGAAATTCAGCTGTGCTGCGAATCAGTCCATTTTCAATGTTTTTCTTAATAGTTGATAAATCCATAGGCCTAAAAAAATGAAGAGGAGTAAAGAGCAGCAGAAGTGGGAAAAGGACTCACCTGATCTCTGAATAAATGATAAACATGATAATACATGATAAACTTTCTTACATATACCTTATTCCTTCATTATTAGCTGCTAGGACACAAATGCCAAGCCCCCACTCCAAAACATGCACTTAAGACAGAGAGAGAAATCTTGCATCCACTGGTTCACTCCACAATTGCCCACAACAGCTGGGGACAGCCCAGGCCAATGCCAGGAGCCAGGAACTCCACCCAGGTCTCCCACATGGATGGCAAGAGTCCAAGTACGTGGGCCATCATCCACTGCCTCCCAGGTGCATCAGCAGTAAGCTGGATTGGAAGCGGAAGAATGGGACTCAAACCAGCACTGCAATATGCGCGATACGGGTGTCTCAAGCAGCAGTTTAACAGACTATGCCACAACATCTACCTTTGTACTTAGATCTAAAGTAAAAATTCACTAAGACTGGACAATTTATAATTCAGGCAAGTCAGCAGAGCATGGCTTACCTCTGTACAATGCTGTGATAACCAGGTGCTATGTCATCTGTAACAGGCTGTAAGAAGACATTCGCATATCTGTCCGAAAATAATTAACATGCAATTACTAAACAGATGCACATGGGAAGGAACTTAGATCAAGTAGCTAAAGGTAGGTAGAGACACCACCAACAGTCCCACAGAAGCCTACTTAGACTGCTTTCTTTTCATCTACAAAGAGGAGGGCCAGGAGGGAATGAACCTACTGATGGGTAAAGCCACTCACCTATGATTAGCTGCCGCTCTCCACACAAGCATGATGGCTTTCTTCCATATTTTCTGTGCCTGAATAGCTTCTTGATCCTCACTACAGACAGAACTGAAATAGACACACAGATCAGTAGGCAAGGTGAAAGAAAAAAAAGCCCTAATTATTTCATGTCAGTTATTTCTTCCAGGCCAAGAATAGGAAGATGAGAAAATAAGATTAAAGAAAAGGGGGCTGGCATGTGGCATAGCAGGTTAAGCTACCACCTGCAACACTGGCAACCATATGGGTGCCAGTTCGAGTCTTGGCTACTCCACTGCTGAGCCTGGTAATGCTCCAGGGAGGGAAAGCAGCAAATGGCCCAAGTACTTGGGCCCCTGCACCCATGTGGGAGACTGGGATGAAGTTACTGGCACCTGGATTCAGCCTGGCTCAGCCCCACCTGTTGCCACATTTGGGAAGTTAACCAGAGGATCAAAGATATCTCTCTCCCTCTATCACTCCGCCTTTCTTTTCTTTTCTTTTCTTTTTTTTTTTTTTTTTTTTTGACAGGCAGATTCGACAGTGAGAGAGAGAGAGAGACGGAGAAAAAGGTCTTCCTTTGCCGTTGGTTCACCCTCCAATGGCCGCCGCAGCCGGCGCACCGCACTGATCCAAAGCCAGGAGCCACGTGCTTCTCCTGGTCTCCCATGGGGTGCAGGGCCCAAGCACTTGGGCCATCCTCCACTGCACTCCCGGGCCACAGCAGAGAGCTGGCCTGGAAGAGGGGCAACCGGGACAGAATCCAGCACCCCGACCGGGACTAGAACCTGGTGTGCTGGCGCCACAAGGCGGAGGATTAGCCTAGTGAGCTGCGGCGCTGGCCAAAAATCTTTTCTTTAGTCTTACTGTTTTTTTATTTTATTTTATTTTATTGATTTGAAAGGCGGAGTGGCCGGCGCTGCGGCTCACTAGGCTAATCCTCCGCCTTGCGGCGCCGGCACACCAGGTTCTAGTCCCAGTCGAGGCGCCGGATTCTGTCCCGGTTGCCCCTCTTCCAGGCCAGCTCTCTGCTGTGGCCAGGGAGTGCAGTGGAGGATGGCCCAAGTGCTTGGGCCCTGCACCCCATGGGAGACCAGGATAGGTACCTGGCTCCTGCCATCGGATCAGTGCAGTGCGCCGGCCACAGCACGCCGGCCGCGGCGGCCATTGGAGGGTGAACCAATGGCAAAAAGAAGACCTTTCTCTCTGTCTCTCTCTCTCACTGTCCACTCTGCCTGTGAAAAAAAAAATTAAAAAATAAAAATTAAAAAAGAAATAAAGGAAAGATTTTCTCCTACTTCTCACCTTGACTGCCTTGGACTCAAACAAAGAAATCTCTAATACTCACAACTGTGAAGAAGCAGGGCTGCTGGGGATGGAGTCGGCCAGTGTATGTGACTGCAGTGTAGCATTGTGTATGCTAAAGCCATCATCACTCTCGCTCACAGGGGGTTCATTATCCATTTCTGACAAATAGCCTTCTCCTTGATCTTCTTCCTTAGGCTCCTCTAGGCTGGCTGCTTCACTGACCCCATCTTCTTCCTCATCCTCACCTGGGGCATCCTTAGACACAGTGTGCTCCGGTCAACAAATGCACGTAAAGCTATCCAGCAAAGCATCATTAAACATGGTCTGTCTTTTGGGTTAGATCAACTCTAGAAATGGCCTCACACTTTGAGCCCTCTATCACTCATACTACCATCTACTTAGCAGACACTGACTAAATAAAGTAATCTAGAACCTGGACAAAGAATAAAATCCAGGATCTTTTTAAAAGGAAGAAAAAAAAAAAGCTACTTACTTAAGACTAAGCTAAGAGGCGTTCCTTCTTTCCCCTTGCTCTTGAGAGGAACTCTGACCCTGGGTACAAAGTTATCAAAAATAGTTTTTACTTCGTGTCTCATTTGATGGAGCAAGCTCACATCGCATTACTTCAAATCTTTTTTATTACTGCTCTAGTAACTCTAAAATAAAAACTTCAGATGATTCTCTTTGAATAGTCTAAAAAAATCTGATTTTCTATAGTTTCTTCCTGGCTCTAGTATTCCTATTGACTCCAAATCACTTGGGGTGCATCAGAGCTTCTTTGTATACTTCATGCCAAGAAAATAACCATGTAATGTTCAGATGGGTAGCACGTGCAGTAATTATATGTACTCCCATATGCCTGACTGTCCACTACAGCTTTTCCCCATGCAACTCCTTACCAGTCTCATCTCAGAGAATAAAGCTGTGAGTTTACTGAAATTCATTAAAAAAGGGAGTGCTATAGGGAAATCTATCACATGGCAAGAGGAATAAAGAAAAATCTGAAATACCTTTATCTGGCTTCCAAAAATAGCCCCTGATTCTTCTTTCAATGAGTCTGCAGAGGAGAGAAAGACTACCTGAAGATTTTTCCACCTTAGCCTTCCCCTACTATGGACCGTAATCCCCTGCAGCTCTCCTTTCCATGCTGACCTATTCTACTTCCTGTACTTGCCCACAACCCACAATCCCTTAGAAGCCAAAGCAAATGATTTCAAGTTAGTCACAGAGTACAGGTTTCCTGGTCTTTATTTACCTGACATTTCAAATTTGTGTTGAGTCTCTGTCTCTAAAGGATCTTCAATGGGATTTGAGCCATGTGAGGGAGATAACATGCTCTCAGGGGATGCCTAAAGACCCCAAAAAAAAAAAAAACACCAAACAAACAAACATCAATACTCTAAGTAATGGTGAATTCTAAGAGTTCACAAAATTTCATTTTTCAATAATAATGAACCTGTACAGAGAATTCTAAGTCCTACTCATATAAAGACTCCAGTGGTCATCTTAACTGGAATAAATATATACAACAATATTCACAACATAAGTGCTTTTGTAGGATGCACCAAACATGTGAGAACTTCAGAACCGAACAAGAAAACAAAAGCCTGTCACCTTTTCCCTATAGTATAACTCTCCATCCTCCCAACCCTCAATCTTATTAAATACCTCTGTCTTCACAGTTGTAAGTGTGGTCTCATCGCCTTTCCCACTGGAAACATCTGCTTCAGAGATCTCTCCAGTTGCAATACTTCTGGGTTCTTCATCTAAGTCCTGACTCCTGAGTTCAGGTGGTTCCATACTTGTGGCTGGGACAACTCCAGCTACCATTTCAGGCCCCGAAATGCCTGGCTCTGTTTCTGCAGGTTCCACCTTGATCTCAACACTGGGTTCCCTCATGTCCACCAGTTCATGGATCCCCTTGTTTTCTGTTTCCTCAAAGTCCAATCTCTCTTGCTTAACCATCAATTCGGGTGCAGGGAGAGGTACTGGCTTTTCCCGCTCCTGCTGGATAGGATGCTCCCAGGGGCCAGGCAGGGACTGGGGATCATCATTCTCTTCACAGAATGATAGTGCTGCTTCCACTGCTGCCACATCCAGCACTTCAGGGTGATCATCTACCTGTCCCACAATACACAGACTGTTGAGGTCACAGAAAGAAGCCCGAGTCCCTTAATTTTGTTAGCACTGAATGAGATGGCCTGAATCTGCAGCTTCTCTCTCCATCTTCTCCATGTAGTGGAAACAACCAGTGGACACCCACCTGTCCTATGCAAACCAGTAACACAGGAATGGCTGGGGAGATGACTAGCAAGTCAGCACCAAAAGGACTTGTGGACTACAGATATGGAGGTAGGCAGAAGAAGGAGAGCTGTTTAAGTAATTCTAAGACAGGCAGAGGAGAGTGGCCTAGGTAGGACGCACGAGAGACTCTCTAGGGCCTTGCTGAATAGTTACCTTGTCCTCAATGATGGCAATGATGTCTCCAACAGTTTCAAAGTCCAGCTCTTCACCTGTGTAAGACACAGCAATATCCATCTTCTCAGCCAGATCTAAATCTTCCTTCCCATCTATGCTGGGAGGTTTTGATCCTCCAGGGGCCTCTGCTACCCCTGATCGGAAACACTCTTCTTTGATAGAATTAATAATCATGGAGATTTCACTGCTATCCATGGAAACAGTCACTGTATGTGGATCTCCCACAGTCTCCATAGGAACACAGGCATCAGGCTGACTCACTGAATAACAGGAAGAGAAACACATCTCAGACACTTATTGAGTACGAAGTAACCACCCAGAGATCACACCAGGACTGTAGACAGATGTCAAGAACCCACACAGTTGCAGTGAAAAAGCTGCATTTGCCCATGGTTTTCTCCACCCCAGTTTTGAGAGTTAAGCCTGCTCATATTTGTATACTTAGCCGTTTCCCTACCTCCAAACACTTTCATGCCCACCCACCTCTTCTCACATTCTTTATTTTCTAAGGCTAAGGAAAGCTTATGTCTATGGAGAACAGAACAGATGCATCTGAATGGAGTTGATGCGCTTGGTTATCTTTCTCTAACTGAAGCTCAAAATGAAATTCTGGACCTAGTGGCTGCTCAGGGCGTGGGTCAAGGACGCACCTGGAGCTACACTTTCAGGAGTGGAGACAGCCGGAGCAGAGGACGGTGCTGGCAGCGCAGGCATCATGACAATGGTAGCCTGGGACACAGACTCTACAGGGGGTGGCACAAGTTTAACTGGAGGCTCACTGGCAACAGTAGTGAAGGAAGCAAGAGGTGTGGTAAACTGTGTAGGACCAGCTTCTAAAAGCCGGGAAAGAGTGGGAGCACCTAACAGACAAAGAGGTACACAAAATGATGTAAGAAGATAGCATGTGAACAAGAAGTAATAGCCACTTAAAGACTCAACCAATAAAAATTTTAGTCTCAAAGGATGAAAGCCAACTCCTGTGTTGAACAAGCTAATTATCTATATCCTTAGTTCTCCTAATCTCACTTAAAGACTCTTCTCCAAATTAAGAATGAATCAAAGCACTAGAACACACAATGTGTAAGGAAAACAGTGGCAATTTTTCTTCAGAGGAATAAGAAATAATCTTCGAAAACAAAACAAATAACTAGTATGAATAAACCTGTCACTTCTGTTTTGGTTCAGCATGCTGTAAACCATCCAAGTTCAACATCAAATAAGTATCAGTATCTTATGTCTATATAGCATTTCTCAAAGAACTTTTAATTTGGCTTTACATTCACTACATCATTCAAGTATCACATGCTTGTGAAGCATCACCATTAGTAAAAAGGGTAACCAATGCTCAATAGCTACTCATCCAAGGTCACAAAACCAATGTGTGGCAAGCATAGTTCATTGGTTCTCAAGCTCTCTCTAGTGTACATAAAGTGTACATAAAGCTTTTCCACAATTTTGCAAACCACATAAAAGCAACTTTACTGTGACTTTTATCAGTATGTATGCTGTGGTCAACAGTGAATAATCTGAATAGGGAATGGATTTGTAATTTGTAGCATTATGTCGTTTAATAGGTAAGGTAGTTCCAAAAAAAAGTTACAAAAAGCATTTGGGCTTTAAATCTTAGGATTGACAATTGCTTAGTAACAAACTCTAAAACCATGGACAGTCAATGCCAAAAACAGCATCTCTGGAGTAAAGAAATGACTTACCTGAGGCAGCAGGGGAGGCTGCAACAGTATTGGGTGTTTGCTGTATCTCCCCACCATGTATCATGGGAAGGACCCCGCCTACCTCCAGGAGAACACCTGTACTGTTCAGGTGGCCAGAAGCCACAGCCATTTCACTCTCATTGACCTAACAGGGAAGAATAGAGGTGAAGACTACCCTCAAGCTTTCCTTTACTACTATTTCCCAAAAAAAGCTCCAGCAGTCAACCAAACTTCATGAAAACTATAATATCCACAGAGAGGGAAAATGTAAACTGTAATATTCAGAACTTATTTGACAAGAGTTCTCTGGAGAAGAGAACCAAAATAATTGTAGTTCAGAAACCTCGGGGCCCAAGGACACTAGCAACTTATTATATATTTTTTAAAAGTCAACAATTTAACTAAAAGATGTCTTCCTCTTTTGAACTTTTTTTCCATGTTATATTTTAGGTCCCAGGCACTCCCTTCCAAGTACTAATCACCACAGCTCTCAAACACCCACAGAAGTCTCCATACCAGTCTGGGGCTAGTAGGCAGGAGGCTGCCCTTCTTCAAGAGCTCTGACAGCAGAGGGGAGGGGGGTGGAGTTGCTTTCTGTCCAAGCATCTTTTTCTGGGGTGAATCATCTGTTACTGGGGTCATGGGGGCTTCTAAGGGTGCAGAGCCTGGAGGAAGGGTGTCAGGAATCCCAGGAAACGAGGTGACTGGGGTATTCGGCAAAGTCCCAGGGGTTACCTAAGAGACAACAGAGAACCTTTATCTGACTTCTCAAACTATGGAAGGTTCTACTAATCTGGATGGGTTAGTGTGTCTGCCTATTACTTTATTAGTTCTGAGTGAAATTACCCAGAAACCCTCTACCCCTCCTATTCTAACCCATGTTCTTACAGTTTTTTCTCTTCCACCCACCCATTCAAACCTACAGTGACCCAACCATTCCTGCCTTTTACAAATTCTTCACTCACTAGCAATTTTATTTACAAGGAAATTCTCTCTCATTTCATCAGGAATGTCATATGCCTAGTACTTAGCAAACAATGATTAACATGGTCCTTTATCTATCTCACAAAATGCCTTTGTCTCTTTATATTCAACCTTAACTTAGAACTAAATTAAATCTTTTGTAATCAGACCAAGAGAGAAATTTGCTTTAGGCCAAAAGTGGTTTCCTCATCACTGATCTCTCTCCTGGCTTATGGACCCTTTGCTGATCAACTCCAAAGAATGGAAATATACTCACCCCAGAGGTGGCCTCTTCCATAGTAGCCGGAGTCAAGTCCCCAAGTGGATAATCACCTCCAGGGGAGGCAGAATCTATAGGAGAGCGGACCATCACAGTGGGTAACCTCCGAGGGGGTGTTTTTACTGCTTGACGGGCTAGAATATAAATACACAATAAAGGAAAACAGGAATGAAGCCATCACCAGAACAAAATTAGAACCCTGGGATTAGAAAACCTTCTGTAAATGCTTTTGGAGAAGGGTCATTTTTTGTCCCAGGTTTTCCTAGGGGCAATGCGCATACTAAACAAACTCATTTAAACATTTAATTATTTGAAAAAGTCCTTAGAGGGGGGTAAAAAAAAATCCCTCAATATCCTCTTCAGCAACTTAAAGAAGATGGCCCAAGTCCTTGGACCCCTGTATCCGCACGGGAGACTACGAAGAAGCTCCTGGCTCTGGATCAGCACAGCTCTGGCTGTTGCGGCTAATTGGGGAGTGAACTGGCAGATGAAAGACCTCTCTTTCTGCGCCTCTCCTTCTCTCTCTGCAACTCTGACTTTCAAATAAATAAATCAATAAATCTTGAAAAAAAAAAAAAAAAGATTAAGATACTGCTTTTAAAATGAGGGAAAGATCTCATCGGTTCACCCCATATATTTGTAGAGTTGGAAACAACTAATTTTCCTGTCCTCATCTAATGACTCAGTTATTTTCAGTATTTTCACAGGCCTTTGACTTCTAAAACCTTAATTATGTTCAGTGTGCTATTATCGAGTTCCTGTGTCCTCAAAGTTGATTCAGTCAAGTGAGATCTGAAGAGAACTAAAGAGACTTTTCTTCTAGGCATTACAGAATGTTTATATTCTAGTAAAGGAGAAGAGCAAAGGGCAAGGTTTGCAAGTAAATTTAAACTGGTGAAATACATATTACAAAACACTCTTCAGAGGCATGTGTTAAACTTGGTGGTTAAGACACTGATTGAGATGTTTGCATCCCATGTTAGAGTACCTGGGTTCAATTCTTGGCTCACTCTCAATTCTAGCTTCCTGCTAATGTACACCTGGGTTGGTTCATGGAGGAAGACCTGGACCGAGTTCCCTACTAGCAGCCTGGCCTAGCTGCAGCCACTGCAAACATGTGGGAAGTGAACCAACAGATGGGAGCTCTCTACTTCTCAAATAAATAAATTTTCTAAAAGTCTGTAAGGGGTCTACTTTGTGGTATAGCAAGTTAAGCTGCCACCTATGAAGCTAGCATAGCACATGAGCAGTAATTCAAGTCCCACCTGCTCCACTTCCAATCCAGCTCCCTGTTAACACAACAGGGAAAGCATTAGTAAGTGGCCTTGGTGCTTCGGCCCCTGGTACCCATATGGGAAACTCCAGATGGAATTCCAGGCTCCTGGCTTTGGCCTGGCCCACCAATAGCCACTAGAGTCTTTTGCAGCATGTATCAGTTGATGAAGATCCCTTCCTGTCTCTCCCTCTCTCTAACTCTGCCCTTCAAATAAATTAATCTTTAAAAAAATAAAAAGGCCCTAAATGTCATTAGTATGTAGTACTGTATAAATTGCTAAGACACACTAGGTTTAGCTTACCCTGATATGCAGCATCTGTAGCTTTCCTTTTTACTTCAGCCTCTTCTTCCTCCAATTTCTTTTTCCTTGAAAGGGAATTAAGGGTTAAATGTCAGCAAGCTCTAGCTCCTCTCCACAGTTCACAGTTGCCTTCCAAAGAAATTTTTAGGAAAACCAGTATTTTGTGGAGAAAAGGTCTCAATAGGAATACCAATCAGCAAAGCAGAGAATTGGATTCTATTAATTCCCAGTTCTTTACTCAGGCAAAACCGACTCACTTTTGAGGCAGAACAAAGTTATGTCTGCGTATTGAAATGTCCAATTGCATCCCCATCTAGGACTCACTCCCACTCCCAGCCACCAAGCCACTCTACATGTTTCCCTTTCCAGAACTTTCTCAAGTTTAAAGGGAAGGTAGTTGCAGGAAATAAGCCAGATTATTGAGAGGGAAAGAGAGTGAAACAACAGAAAAAAGCACGAACATATGAACACCACAATATAACCCACATTGCAATGTCATTGCAAAGCTCATCCAGTCTGCTATCCATGTGTCCAGCTTGAATTAGTTCTGCATCTCTTTTTAGCCTTCTGTTGGAAGAAAGAGAGGTAGACTTAGCCTTTTAATCTGCTATTTAAAAAATGCTGACTAATATCACAAGTCAGCCACTTGTTTTTCCCAACCACTTAGCATTTTCTCTGATAAGTACCTATATCTCTCCTGGGTTTCCTTTATCACTTTCTTTAGCTCCTCTACTCGCTCAGCCGTCAGTTTCCGAACAATCACATCTTCAACAGTTTCTACCACTTCTCCCTTCTCACCCCGTTTCCGTCTGTGGAAAAAATTTTTAAAATAACAATAAGATAAATTCACATTTGAATAAGACAACATTAGTTCTCACTCCCACTTGATTTCTGCCTTTTCCACCACTCAGTAACAGATAACTTCTGCTATACTTTCACCACTAATATAAACAAAAACGAGACTTCCTCAGTAAACACTCTCCACTAAAAGATCTGGCTTTGTACTCACTTTGGAGTTTCAGTGGTCTCCAGAAGCTCTGAATACTGAGAAGCACAATGCTACAGAGAAAAAAAAGTGAAAACATGATAAACAAGCTTTGCAAGGAGTGATCTTTCAAAGTTTCAACAGATTAAGGTTGGTAGAAGAAAGCTACATGTAAGATGTGAGTGGTTTCAAGGAGGGCAATTTCTTTTCCAATCAAATTAGTTCAAAATAATCAAAACCAAGACACAGATAGGGCCATCTTCTGGTCTACAATTTGTGTCTTTGGGGAAAATAAACTGTATGTCAATATTTACAGCTACTATCAACTGCTCACCACATGAAAGGCTCTGTGCTAAAAGCTTTACACATACTAGTATTACAATTAACTTTACACTACTCCAGAAGCAATTCTATTTTATAAATGAGAAAGTCCAAAGAATTAGGTAAAGACATAATTAACCCAGATCTAATCTGCAATTGTGGGTTCTTATTTGTTATGCTACACTGACAAAGAGTTTGTAAACAAACAAACATACATTACAAACAAGGATGAAGTGAAAAGGCATTCCATATTATTTTCCCACTTCAAAAAGCCTTGCAATTAAAAGACTTGAAGTTGGTATGGTAGCACAGTGAGCTAAGTTGCTGCCTACAATGCCAGCATCCTATATCAGAACACAGGTTCGAGTCTCAGCTGCTCTGCTTATGACCGAGCTCCCTGCTCATGTACCTGGGAAGGCAGTGTAAGATGGCTAAAGCACTTGGGCCTCTGCCACCCATGAGGAAGACCTGGACTGAGTTCTCTCCTCCCAGCTTCAGAACTGCCCAGCCCCAGCCACTGTGAACATTTGGAAAGTGTACCAATGGGTGGAAAAACTGTCTCTCCCTATCTTTTCCTTCTGCCTTTCAAATAAATAGTCTTAAAATAAATGAAGTCTTTTAAATAAATAAAATTATCAAAAAAAAAATTTTAACAAAGGACCTAAGCAGAACCTATCTCACATCCCAAAGACTGCTCTAAAAGAGCAGTTGTAGGGACTGGTGCTGTGATGCAGTGGGTAAAGCTGCCGCCTGCAGTGCCATCATCCTATATGGGCAACGGTTCTAGTCCCGGCTGCTCCTCTTCTGATCCAGCTCTCTACTATGGCCTGGGAAAGCAGTAGGAAATGGCCCAAGTCCTTGGGCCTGTGCACCCACATGGGAGACCTGGAAGCTCCTGGCTCCACATAGGCACAGCTCCAGCCACTGCGACCATCTGGGGAGTGAACCAGTGGATGGAAGACCTCCCCCTGTCTCTGCCTCTGCCTCTCTGTAATTCTGCCTTCAAATAAATAAATCTTAAAAAAAAAAAAAAAAAAAAAGGAGCAGTTGTAGGGCCATCGTTGTGGCCCAGCTGATTAGCTGCTGCTTGTAACACCAGCAACCCAAGCAGGCTCTGATTCAGCTTCCTGTGAATGTGCCTGGGAAGGCAGCGAAACATGGCTCAAGTATTTGGGTCTTTGCCACCCACGTGGGAAACCTGGATGGAGTTCCCAAAACCTAGGTTCCTGGCTTTGTCCTGGCCCAGCACTGGCTGTTGCAACTATTTGGGGAGTACACCAGCAGTTGGAAAACCTCTGTCTCTGTTGCTATGCTTTTCAAATAAATAAAAATAAAAGCTTTTAAAAAAGAATAGGGGCCGATGTTATGGCTTAGCGGGTAAAGCTACTGCCTGCATTGCCGGCATCCCATATGGGTGCTGGTTCGAGACCTGGCTGCTCCACTTCTGATCCAGCTCTCTGCTATGGCCTGGGAAAGCAGAAGAAGACAGCCCAAGTCCTTGGGCCCCTGCACCTATGTGGGAGATCCAGAAGAATCTCCCTGGCTTCAAATCAGCATAGCTCTGGCCATTGTGGCCAATTGGGGAGTGAACCAGTGGATGGAGGACCTATCTCTCTCTGTGTAACTCAGACTTTCAAATAAATCTTTTAAAAAAATAGTAAGAATAAAAAAGCATTTGCTTGGGAACTTACTTTTTGGGAAAACCAGTCTGGAGGACGTCCAGGTTCTGCGAAGGGCTTGATTGCTCTGCTAACTGATACCCTACAAAATAAGAAAAGCTTTATTACATACCAAACAAAAAAAGAGGGGAAAGTATGCTGAGAGTTCAGGGTTTGGAGTTCAAGTTTTGAAATAAAAAACTACCATTGTGGGGTGGATGTTTAGCCAACAGCTTAAGATACCCATCAGAGTACCTGGATTTGATACCCAGTCACAGCTCTTGACTTCAGCACCCTGCTAATGTAGTCCCTGGTAACCAGCAGAGATGGTCACATAACTGGGTTCCTGCCAATGTGGAAAACTTTGGACTAGCTCATTTTCACTTAGTGCAGGCACTTGGGAAGCAAACCAACAGATCAAAGCTCTATGTCTAACTTTGTCTCTGCCTCTCAAAGAAATAAAAGAAAAAAAATTGTAAAAACTACCATGGGGGGGGGGGGTGACTACCACTGGGAAATATTCAGGAAGAGAGAAAGAGAAAGTCTTTGCTAAATAGTTTTCCTGGGTGAAATACTTATTGGGTGAAGTGAAGTCAACCTCCTAAGATATTAAATATGTTCATCTGGTTTGGATTTTCTAAATAGCTGCCTGGGGCAAGTACTGTGGCACAGCAGGTTAAACTGCCATTTGTGATGCCAGCTTAATATATCTGTGCCAGTTTGAATCCCAGCTGTTCTGCTTTCAATCAAGCTTCCTCCTAATATGCTTGGCAAGGCAATGGAAGACAGCCCAAATGCTTGGGCCCCTGCTACCCATGCAGAGAACAGAATGGAGTTCCTGGCTCCTGAACTCAGCATGGCCCAGCCCTGACTGTTGTAGCCAACTGCGGAGTGAATTAGTGGATGGAAAATCTGTTTCTCTCTTTCACTGTGCCCTTCAAATAAACAAATAAATCTTCAAGAAAAAAAAAAGATCTGCCTTTTGAAAAGCGACTTGTAATATACTCTATAGCCAAAAAATTATTATCTTTTTGAGTCACTATTATGGTTCCTGAGAATATAATGTAAGGATGTAATTCAACAAAAAGAAAGCAAGCACCAAGAGGTTCATATAGACCTCTTCAGACTGATTAACAGTTGGTTTTCTTCACAAAAAATTCAACAGGATGTCTAATTTATTCATCTCAATTTGATGGAATGTTAAAAAGCCCATAAAAATAATTAAACATGATGATTAGGAATGCATTTATAATACAATGTTAACTGAAGAAAGGATATAATTTTGTTATGATTGCAAATGCCTTTTTCTTTTTTAAAAAAGATCTTTTTATTTATCTGAAAGGCAGAGTTACAGAGAGACAGAGGCAGAGATAGATCTTCCATCCACTGGTTCACTACCCAAATGGTTGCAATGACCAGAGCCAACCCAAAGCCTAGAGCCATGAGCTTCTTCCCAGCCCCCACACGGGTACAGGGGCCCAAGCACTTGGGCATCTTCTACTGCTTTCCCAACCCACAGGAGAGAGCTGAATCGGAAGAGAAGCAACTGGCACTAGAACTTGCACCCATATAGGATGCTGGCACTGAAGGCAGAAGCTTTACCCATGATGCTACAATGACAACTCCTGTAAATGCCTTTTAAAAAGTCATAGGTATGGGACTGGCACTGTGACATTAAAGTTAAGCCTCTGCCCGAGTGCCAGTATCCCATATAGGTGCCAGTTCAAGACCCAGATGCTCCACTTCTGATCCAGCTAATACAATCCAAGTAGGAATGTTGGTTTTAATTCAGCTTCCTGTCAATGTGCCTGGGAAAACACCAGAAGATGGCCCAAGTCCTTGAGCCCCTGCATCCATGTGAGAGACCTATTAGAAGTTCCTGACTCTTGGAACTTCCATTGCAGCCATGTGGGGGGTTTGTAAACCAGTGGATACAAGATCCACCTCTATTTCTGCCTTTCAAATCAAGGAAGGGTGTAAATTGTGTCCAACTGTGTCTGTTTATTTCTTTATTAAGAACAATGAGGGTATAGGCACGAGTTTGTGTCCCAGGTACTGCTTTTCCAATCCAGCTCTCTGCTTGGCTTGGGAAAGCAGTGTAAGAAGGCCCAAGTGCTTGGGCCCCTGTACCCACGTGAAGACCTGGAAGAAGTTCTTGGCTCCTGTAATCAGATCTGCCCAGCTCTAACCAATGTGGCCATTTGGGAAGTGAACCAGCAAATAGATATCTTTTTCCTTCTGTCTGTAACTCTGTCTCTCAAACAAATAAAATCTAAAAAAATAAAAAAGAACAATGAGGGATAGGGGCCAGTGCTGTGGCACAGCATGTTAAGCTGTCACCTGCAATAACAGTATCCGATATGGACACCAGTTCAAATCTTGGCTATTTCACTTCAGATCCAGTTCCACACTAATAAGCCTGGAAAAGCAACAGAAGGTGGACCCTGCTTCCATTTTTAGGAGACCCTGATGAATTTCTCGGCTTTGGCCTGGTGGTTATGGTCATCCGGAGAGTGAACAGTGAATGGAAGGTATCTCTCTTTCTCTCTCTGTAAGTCTGCCTTTTAAATAACAGATATCAACTGAAACAAAAAAACAAAACAGACTCCTGGTTTTAGCCTGGATCACCCTGGGCAACTGTGGTCATTTGGGGAGTGAGCCAGCAGATGGAAGAGCTCTCCCTTTCTCTCTGTAATTCTGCCTTCCAGATAATTAAGTAAACCTTTTATATATTTGCACAATGAAATAAATAATTTTGTAAAACAATAAAAATAATAATAGTGCAAGAGCAGGCCTTTGGTGTGGTGTGAAGATGCTGATTGAGATGCTCACGTTCCATATTAGAGTGCCTAGGTTCAAGTCCTGGCTCTGATTCCAATTCCAGCTTCCAGCTAATGTACATTCTGAGAGGCAGCAGTGATGGCTTAAGTACTAGGGACCCCACCTTCCATGTGGGAGGCCTGACTGAGTTCTGGGCTCAGTTCCCACTGATGCAGGCATTTAGAAAGTGAAACAGGATGAAGACCCATCTGTCTCAGTTCTTCAAATAAAATGAAAATAATTTTTTTAGGGAGAAGGAATAATGTAAAATTAATTATGATGTTAGTTGTACAATTCTGTGAATATACTAAAAACCACTGAATTGTTTATTTTAAATGAGTTAGTTCTACAAATTATATACCACTAAAGCTATTAAGAAAGAAATACTACTCACACTAATATGACTAAAAAACCCAATGTTGAAAATATGCAACAATTCCTAAGATCCAAAAAGCATCTTACCAATTTTGATCTCCACTCCTCATGACAGAAGATGCTAAACACAGCTTCTCTCGGATGGACCATGGCTCTGTGGGGCCAGTACTCAGCAGCTTGTGTTCTGAAAGGAAAAAAGGCTTGGAGACCACCACTGGGAAAGTTTTCTGTGTCAAAGAAAGGACTGAAAGCCCAATACAAATATCAAAGATTCTTGATTTTCACCACACCACCGGCGATGGCACCTACTGTATTCTTTACACTGGCATTATAGCATTATATTTTTTCAAATGCCATAGCTCAAGCTCAGATTAAAAAAAAAAAAAAAAAGGCAGGGAATGGGGAGAGAATGCCAGATTAAGACGAACCAGTTGGGGTCGGTGCTGTGGCATAGTGGGTAAAGCCGCCGCCTGCAGTGCCGGCATCCCATAAGGGCGCCGATTCGAGACCCGGCGGCTCCACTTCCAATCCAGCTCTCTGCTGTGGCCTGGAAAAACAGCAGAAGATGGCCCAAGTCCTTGGGCCCCTGCAGCCACAAGGGAGACCTGGAGGAAGCTCCCGGCTCCTGACTTGGGATCAGCGCCGCTCTGGCGTTGAGGCCAATTGGGGCGTGAACCAGTGGATGAAGACCCCTCTCTCCCTCTCTCTCTCTCTCTGCCTCTCCTCTCTCTGTGTAACTCTGGTTTTCAAGTAAAAATAAATAAATCTAAAAAAAAAAAAAAAAAGGTGAATCAGGCTGTTACTAGAATACAAGGATTCCAATTTGAACAGAAGGGCTTATTTCCCAGGATTCCGAGCGGCCGCCGGCCCCGCCTCCCTCTTAGCATAAACTTGTTTACTCCCAACGGCCCCTTCCCCCCAACCGTCGGCCTGAAGGTCCTCTCCTACCCCAAACACGGAAATGGCTGAAACGCACGAAACGCAACTTCCCCACGGACAGAAAAAAGCCCACGGCTCAAATACGCACTTCCACTGCCTCGCAACGTTGGTCCGAGAATGACTGGCTCTTTGAAATGCCTGCCACTCCCACAGAGCTCGCGACAACTCTTCATCAGCAACCCCAGGTTTCCAAGCTGCCTTTACCTCTGACCCTACACAGCTCATAACACAAAAATTCACGGAGCTGTTTTTCTCATCCTTCTCCCTCCCTGAGGTGAAAGACCGTAAACTCTGGGGCCCTCCGACGCTTATCTTCACGACACGGCCTAGCCCAAATCCCTGAGGACTCCGGGCTCCCCGCCAAACCACTCTTTCGATTTCCTAGCCGTGCGACAGAAATGTGGTGTTTAACCCCGGCTCCCCAACGGCCTCCCAAACAAAAGCAGCCCCGATACTCACTGCCCGTCCCCGTCGCCATCTTGGCTCCGAAGTCTAGCTCCTGAGGAGAGGCAGTCCGACTCGGCCGATCTCCGGGAACTCTGGGAAATAGAGTACGGGCGTTGCTTCGCGGTGCCTCCTGGGAAATGTAGTTTTCTCTCCGAAGACGTAGCGAACGCTCTGAACCAGCGGTCTTGTGCGTTCCGGGAAAGGGCTGTTACCACATAAAAGACAAAATGGCGACTAAAACTTCACCACTTCTTTTAGGCCTCTTGGGAACGAAATGTCTAGACTTCAAGGAAAAGAGTCAGGAATCCCAGGTGAGACACCTGAGAGCCCGCAACGGTTGGTAACCCGGACCCACATTGCAGTTGAGAGGTCACGCTCAAGTAAACGGTCTCCCAGTCGTCCCCGCCTCCTTCCCTTACGCTGATTGGTAGCTACAGGCTTCGCCAGCTGATTGGCCGAGCGAACGCAGCGCGTAGTTTAAAACATTGTATCGGGAACAAAGCTGCACCTCGTGGGTGGAGTTTTACTCTCAGGCAGCCGACGAAGTGATTCGGAACGAGACGTAAGCTGGTACCGCAGAAGGAGCGAGTGTCACGGCCTCGGGTGAGTGTGCGGACGGGCTGCACGCAGCGTTACCAGCTCTTGCCCGCGAGGAGTAGGCGTCCGGAAAGCGGAACTGGAGACGCCTCGTCTCGGTGGGCGTTGGGGTGCAGTCGGTGGAGCCTGCGATCCTCCCAGCCCCGGCGAGCCAGGCTCCCTCCTCGGAGCGTGGCCTTCCGCTTTTGCAACCTGATAGCCCAGGATTAACGTTCGCCTTCGAAAATGCCGCCTTAGGCTGGATTAACTTTCAATCCTCATCGCCTTTCCCTCTGCAGATAAGATACTGGGGCTGGGGCAGTGGGTGGGGAAGGGCGTAGCAATTCTGGCAGCCGGGCCGGGTGTCTTGGGACTGGGCCTTTTTTTTTTTTTAACCTGGTTTGAAGCCTCTTCGTCCCAAGTCCTTGCTTCACTTTCTTGTCTCCTTTCAGACCTCGGCTGCCCCCTGCTGTCATGTCGCATGGGATCCTTTCTCCGCCCACGGGCTTTCTGTCAGATGAGGAGGTGGGCGTCTCCCCCATGTTTGAGTCCACAGCTGCAGATCTGGGGTCTGTGGTTCGCAAGGAACTGCTGTCGGACTGCTCCGTCATTTCCGCCTCTCTAGAGGACAAGCCACAGGTAAAGGACTAAGGGGAGTGGCTCGGGCGGCGGAAGGCCTTAGCCACAGTTGTCCACGCAAGGTAGAAGTTCTGAGATAGCAATTCAGAATTAAGGGTATGACAAGCAAAAACCTCGTAGAATATGTGGCCTCAAGTTCCTGCTCATGGTTAGCTCCAAGGGAGAGAGCAGTTCCTTCTCTTCACCACGAGGCCCAGTTAAGTGTTGGATATTTGCACAAGTTCGTCCTGGTGTTAAGTGCAATGGCTTAGCAACATCAGCCATTTGTTTAGCTTTCCGCTAGGCCAAGGTTTCTCAGCCACAGCATTATTTGACATTTGGGGCCATAGTCTTTCTTGTGGGGGTTGGCCTTTGTATGGTAAGGTGTTTAACAGCATTCTTGGCCTCTGTCCACTGGATGTCAGTAGTAACTTCCCTATTCTGATGACCAAAAAGTCTAGAGATCACTAAATGCCCCTTGTAGCTGGGAGAAGTGGAGAAATGGCCCTGGTTGAGAGCCACTTTACTAGGCCCAATGCTGAATGTGTTTGTGTGTTTTTTTTTATAAGATTTATTTATTTATTTATTTGAAAGGCAGAGGCAGAGAGAGGTATCCATCCACTAGTCTACTCCCCAGATGGCCACAAGGGCCGGAGCTGAGCTGTTCTGAAGCCAGAAGCCAGGAACTTCTTCTGGGTCCCCGACACGGGTGCAGGGGCCCAAGGACTTGGGCCATCTTCTGCTTTCCCAGGCCATAGCAGAAAGCTAGATCGGAAGTGGAGCGGCGGGTCTTGAACCAGTGTCCATATGGGATGTTCACACTGGAGATGACAGCTTTACCCAGTATGCCACAGCACCAGCCCCTGCTAAATGTTAACATGCTTTGTTATATTTTTTTTTTCTTATCTTTTTTTTTTTAAGATTTGTTTATTTATTTGAGAGATAAAGTTACAGAGAGAAAGAGATAGAGATCTTACATCTGCTGATTCACTCCCCAAATGGCTGTAATAGCTGGAGCTGGGCTGATCTGGAGCCAGGAGCCAGAAGCTTCTTCTGGGTCTCCCAGGGCCTATGCCTGAGGGCCATCTTCTGCTGCTTTCCCAGGCCATAGCAGAGAGCTGGATCAGAAGAGGAGCGGCCGGGATAGGAACAGACCGGCACTCATGGGATGCAGGCGCTGCAGGCATCTGCACTGCATGCCACAGTGACAACTCCTGTCCTTTCTTAGAGTTTTTCTTAGGAACTTAAAGTTCCATCAGAATCGAGTCCTTGACAGTGTCCCTCATGGACTACCAGAACCTGTTGGAGTTTGGGCCATAGTGGGCACTTTGAATGTCTGTTGAATGCTTGAACTGGGTGCTATTAACTCCATTCTACAGATGAGGAAACTGAGGCAAAACATTTTAAAAGCTTGTTCAAGGCTTCATAGTTACTAAATGATGGAATTGGAACTCAAATTCAATTGCGTCTGCCTTGCAGCCTCCCAGCAGCTTAATGACTTGATATCACATACAGATTTTCATACCAATCAACCACTTCTAACTCAGATAATTGGTATGGCAAACCAGGTTTGGAGGATACTGATAAGACAGAAAAGGGTGAGAAAATAGTAAAAAAAGAAAAGTGTGTGTAGGTTGGAATGATTGTGGAACCAAGAGTAGCTGCACAGACATTTGGAATGGAATGGGGTGATGTCAGTGTGATTCCTAGGAACTGTGCTGTTTGCCATTTGCTCAGAGGGGGCTGCTGAGATTAATCCATGGTTCCGGATTGGAATTCTGCCACAGGTTCCACCTGACAGTGCAGAGAAGGTGAAAGTTTACCTGAGGGTCAGGCCCTTGTTACCTTCAGAGTTGGAACGACAAGAGGATCAGGTGAGTGAGGAGGGAGTAATTTAAATGGAATCATGTAGTAGAGAAGAGGTTCCCAGGAATGTTTTCCTGTGTGACAACTATTTTCCTCCATCAAAGGGCTGTGTCCGTGTGGAGAATGTGGAGACCCTGGTTTTACAAGCACCCAAGGACTCCTTTGCCCAGAAGAGCACTGAGCGAGGAATTGGTCAAGCCACCCACAAGTTTACCTTTTCCCAGGTATGGAGGAACTGGTCTGTGAATAAGGGACAAGCTTCTAGTGGCAACTTGTTTCCTCTTGAGAAGGAGGGCTTCTCTCTGTTATAAGTTCCTTATTTATGCACACATCTACAATTCTGGGGGCCCTTGACATGTGCTCATCATTATGCCAATTACTTCATGTGCATTAATATCCAACAGTTCTTATTATTACCATTATCCCTATTTTCTTGACAAGGAGTCTCTGGTTCAGCAGCAGTAATGTTGCCAAAGCCGAGCTGATTGTTAGTGGTGGACTTAGGACTTGGATCCAGATCGTCCATCTCCAAAGCCTGTGCTTGGGACCACTGTGCTGCCTTGCTGAGTGTGCAGCACGAGGCCCAGTGCATAGCACTGCCTAAGTATGTGTTGAGCTGGATGAAAGATGCACTAGCAGAGTGGTTGAGTTGTTGGCATTTGGGGAACTTCTGGCAGCACTATAAGAAGGAACCCTTGGGTGGTTTCCAGAGCAAACCACTATGAAGGGATATGCCACGCTGGCTCTGCATGGGAGGAGAAGGGAAGGGAAAGGATCCGTCTCTGAGAAGCTGGGTCTGTCTCTAGATCTTCGGGCCGGAAGTCGGACAGGCATCCTTCTTCAACCTGACTGTGAAGGAAATGGTAAAGGATGTAATCAAAGGGCAGAGCTGGCTCATCTACACCTATGGAGTCACCAACTCAGGGAAAACCCACACAATTCAAGGTGAGTAGTACAGCTACACAGTGTTGCTGACTGGCTTATAATGATTTTTTTTCTTTACTTTTTGATGCTGCAAGTTAGGGACAGAAAGGACTTGTTTCAGCTGTGCATCTTCTGTATACCTCTAGGTACCATCAAGGATGGAGGGATCCTGCCCCGATCCCTGGCTCTGATCTTCAGCAGCCTCCAAGGCCAACTTCATCCGACACCTGACCTGAAGCCCTTGCTTTCCAACGAGGTAATCTGGCTAGACAGCAAGCAGATCCGACAGGAGGAAATGAAGAAGCTCTCCCTACTAAATGGAGGCCTCCAGGAGGTAAAATGTTGGTATACATGGACGCTGGGGCAGTAGCTACAAATCTCAAGAAAGTTTTATGCTAACCTTGTCCTTGCCGCCCCTCCAGGAGGAGCTGTCCACCTCCTTGAAGAGGAGTGTCTACATTGAGAGCCGGATGGGTACCAGCATCAGCTTTGACAGTGGCATTGCTGGGCTGTCGTCCACCAGTCAGTTTACCAGCAGTAGCCAGTTAGATGGTATGTACTGTGACTTAGTTCTGTGTCAGGTAACAGCAGGAATCCATTCTTTGATACCAATAAGTGCCAGAGGTCTGAGCTCTGCCTTCTGAGGCTCCCCATAGGCCAAAAGTGAGATAGACTGCACTAGGGCTAATGCTTTATATGTTGGCTTCTTCCCCAGAAACAAGTCACCGATGGGCACAGCCAGATACTGCCCCAGTAAGTGTCCCAGCAGACATTCGCTTCTCCATCTGGATCTCCTTCTTTGAGATCTATAATGAACTGATTTATGATCTGTTAGAACCGCCTAACCAGCAGCGCAAAAGGCAGACTCTACGGCTATGTGAAGATCAAAATGGCAATCCCTATGTAAAAGGTATGGGACTACTGGGGAGGCTGGCGTGAACCCTAGAGGGGACTTGGGAAGACACTAGGAAGAGCTAGGAGTTTGTATCTTATGCCCCTCTCTACTTTGACCTCAGATCTCAATTGGATTCATGTTCAAGATGCTGAGGAGGCCTGGAAACTCCTGAAGGTGGGTCGTAAGAACCAGAGTTTTGCCAGCACCCACCTGAACCAGAATTCCAGCCGCAGGTAAGTGGATTGTAAAAATAAACTCTTCACTATATCCAGGCATTATCAGTCCTGCATCTCGCCAT